ACTTTGCAGATAAGCTGCAGAAACTGAAGAAGGGAGCAGGAAGTAACATACACATGGGAAGGAAGCCAACAAAGGTGTATTACCTAGTATTTGCCCCTCTGGTTAGTTGGGACTTAATCCTGCTGGGGAGCTCAGGGAAAAGCATGGAACATGCACCTCCTAGTTATTTTACCTAGCAGGAGAGGGAGAGAGGTGGTACACCTGCTCTATCAGTCATTGGTTAAAGGTAGATTTGGGGGATACTTAATTTCTTTGTACTTCTGGCCTATGGGTACTTGCAGGCAGCCAAAGAAGGCTCACTACCCAGAGCAAGTCTTCAGGAAGAGAGACACAGGTAGTGACAGTTGGAATTAGGGTCAGAAGCAGAGAGTGTTGGGGCCTAGGGCAGGATACCAATGATTTCTCCTGACTCCTCTGGCCCAGAAAAGAGCCACCATTGTAGATGGCAAAGGAGATGGAGACAGAGTCAGGAGGAATGGACAAGGCATGTCTTTTGTTACTGCTACTGTCTCCCTAGGAATCAGCACTCCCTGCCTTGAGACAATGCCTCTGGGTTTGTGTTGAGCCTGAATTCCTCTCTGGGAGTGCGCTCACCTGCTCCCCCTTTAGAGAGGAGAATTCCTCTCTGAAGAGCATATCTGAAGTTGGCCCCTTGTAAGGATGCTTTTTCCCCAAAACATGGATGTGGCTTGGTACAGTGGAGTCCTTGGCAAGGATGCATGGCACCCTGGGAAGCAAAAACCAGACTCTGGTGTGGGCATGGATGCCTACAGACTTTCTATGGGCCTCCGGCAGGACACCCTACATCTCTGGATCATCTCTCCTTGCCTATGAACTCAGATGCTAGACTTGAAAGTTTATGACTCAAGTGGCCACACTAAATTCAGATTCAACATTCATTCATCTTAACTTAGCCTCTCTGCCCAGAGTTTGACCTAAAACCTTCTGACACATGAGAAACTGAGGGTCAGAGAAGTGGAGGGACCTCGAAAGTCTAGCTCAAGGTAAATGATAGAACTGAATTTGAACACAGATCTGCCTAACCTCATGCCCAAGACTTCAGTACATCTGAGCTTCAAGATTTTCCTAGCTGTGAGGGAAAAAGAAGTCCCAGAAACTGTGCTGGGTGTGCTGCATGCCCTCACATCCATTCCCCACCTTCTGCATCTGAATCTACAATCTGGGATACAGATCTCTATGGACATGCTTTCAAACTTGAAAATACACAAACTTCCTCACTATACTCCTTCAGTAGGCGGGAGCTGGGCATTTTTAACAAGTTTCCAGGAGGCCAACAGAACTGCATCTCCTCTGCTTCTGACTGGGCTCAGTCAATGGAAGATGAGTGGGTGGAGAGAAAAGAGGGGATTCACTCCTTTGGCTCCCTTTGCTGGGGATGCCACTGAAGGTCACACCTGTGGTCAGGTTCTCTCTCTTTATTTGGGTCCTGCTATCCCTCCCTTGCAGTATGCTTTGTGGTCTGGGGTCATGTCTAGCCCCAGAGTACTGCACTGTCCCTTGCAGAGTCTTTACTCTTAGAGCGTACCTTTGTAAAGAATCTCTGGGTTATTGTTCCTTAAATTATCCTATTTGAGGGACCTATCTACTTCCTGCTAGGATCACACTAGCAGGGAGATTCATTTTATAAAAGGTACAGCCCCTGCCATGGCTTTCTCTTCCAGCATCACCTCCTTTCTTGGTCCAAAAAGCTTTAAAGCTTCTATATGGGGAATGCTTGGCATGCTGGAAACTGCCTGGCCACAGCCACAGCATCTGCCCTGGAGCTACCTGAAAGCAAAGGGCTCTTTGTTCTTATTTTCCCCATTCATTTCCTTCCCTTTCACTCCTTTCCATTTCCACTCCCTGAAACCCTACTGTCTCTATTACTAAATTTTAAATAGAATCATTTGGAAGAAAGGGGTGATTTTGCCAAGGTTCCCTTGTACTGTTTCATTTGTAGGCAGTGCCCTCCTTCCTGCACTTCCCCTTTAATCTTTTCTGTTCTCCCCGGCCTGGGCCTTTGTCCTCCATTCTGGCCTCTCAGTGCTCAGGGCTCCTTAAGATGCTAATCACACCCGGTTGGCTTCTTGCACCAAGAATATTTCTATTTATCAAGGCACCGCAGGCTTTGCCTTTGGGAGGGACACATACAAGCGCAGGAACACTTTCCATTCCTTAGAGCTGTTTCTCTTTTACCTTGCTCATTTCAATTCCAGCATTTCTTTCTTTCTTGTGGGTCCCTTTATGTTTAGAGCTGCTTTTGGAATCTACTGGTTACCTGGCACTGTCTCTTAGCTCCTAGTAGCCAGGATAGACCTGCACTAACTCTGATTTGTTGCAGAATCACTGACCTTCACATAAGAACGGAGAGCCAGGTTTATTGAAGCCTGTGAAGGTAATATCATTAAGATACTTGAATTCTCTCTGCCTCCATTTGAATTTACCGAGAAGTAGGTATAACACAAAGCACTGCAAGGCAAGTAGTATCTGTAGGAGAGGGAAACACCTTGTGGAACACTGGGAAGTGAGACAGGAAGAAAAGGCAGCTGAGAAAGTGTGGGTTTTCAAACCCATTACCACATGGGCAACTGCAGCCCACTTCTCACGGGAACTCTGCAAAGCCACGGAATGGGGAGTGAGCTGGGATATCTCACGGCTGAGGGCTTTCCCAAGGGCATTGATTCTTCAGTGTTTGCAGGCTGTCTCGTGCTAGGGTAGAATGTCTTTCCTCTACTATGGAGAAAGTCCTTAGCAAAGAGATACAATCAGGGCAGAGTTCACCTTCAGAATCCCATCAGTGCAGACCCAACAGCTGGGGGTGAGGCCTCCCCAGGTGTTCCCAGGGTGCCTCACTGCTGACCCCAGTCCTGCCCTGATGACTCTCTCTCAGCTGCCTGCTGTTGCATAGTAAGGTGGTTTGGCTATGGGACAGGGAGGTAGGCTTGGTGATGGATCTATGTTTTCTCCTTATTCCTGGAATTCTGCCTCTCAAGAAGACTTTGCAGAAGGGGTGGTGTTCTGCTTTTCTCTCTCTCTTGTGATCCATCCCCCCTTTCTTCTTGCTTACTTGAATTTACTCTCCAAAGTGTAGTAGTTTTGATCTAACCTTCTTCTAGCCATCCTTGCTGAGTGTTCTCTCTTATTTGGGAAAAAGCAGTTACACTCTGCAGGGTTTTCTGCACATTCAGTTTCTGTTTATGAGATGCCATGTCATACCAGGCTTGGCTCAGTAGAAAAGCAAGATGGTCACAGCTCTGATGTCATACAGTAGCTATGGGAGGAGAGAAGCTGTCACAATTATCATTCAGATGTATCTCACTGAAGTCACCATGATGACAAATGACAAAGAAAAGATACACATTATGCTCTAGGAGTGAATGATGGAAGTTTGACCACATTTGAAAGGTCAGAAGAGTTCTGTGAGGAAGTGGGGACAGAATTGAGAGCTAAAGAATAAGTGGACCCTAGCAGAGCAAAGACAGAAGAGATGGGCATTTGATCAGTGGAAACAGAATGTACAAAGACCCTGTGGCAAGGAGGAGGACTAGAAAACCCCAGGGACCAAGGGACAGCCAGTTCGACTTAAATGAGGAGGCTGTTATGAGGAGGGTCCTGTCTTATGGGCCTAGAGAAATTTCTGAGGGTCTTGCAATAAGGGAACTCAAAAGGGAAGAGAAAGCATTTGAAGAGATTTTAGTTTTAAAGATGTTCTCTGACTTCAGTCAGAGATTTAAGAGGCAAAAATATAGGTCCATCTTGGATGTGGAACAATTGGGAAGAAGGCGTGATAGAGTCCAGCTAAGAGCTGGTGATGGCTCAGGTGGCTTCTGATTCCAAGCATGCTTCACTATAGGCTTTGCCTGCATGTCTACATCTTCCAAAGAGTCAGACTCCCTTCACAGAACTCCAGGGATATGTTTCTCATATCTGTGCAATATCCTCAGAGGAAGATACCACAAAACCCATTTTACGGAGATCAATTACCTAGTGTCACACAGCCTATCATTTAGCATGCCCTATCTGGACTCACAGTCTGGCAGGAGGAATGGATAAGTGACTTGATACTTAGGGCACTGTACTTGAACAGAGAATCTTGGGAACCATTCAGAGCAAGCAGACACCTGACCTGGAAGCAGGGACTGCATCTCCCTGAGCCCAGCATAGGAAATGTTTGGAGGAAGCCCACATATCATAAATCTTAATATGTGTTTGCTGACTGTTTGAATATCTCTTTCCGACAATTCACTTGCAAGAAATCTTGCTTTCTGCATTACTATCTTCTAAGAGACAAATTACAAACGTTTTTTGATTAGTTTCACCATTCATAGCCCATTCCTAAATCAGCACAGGAAACAGCTAAGCTAAAACTTCTGCCTCTTTCTTCCTTTACAATCTGCTTCTATCTTATTCTTTCTCTCACCAAGTATTTTTTTTTTTCTGGGCATGTCTAGACATTTAAAACAAAACAAAACTCTGAAGGATGCCAGAAATTGTTATTCACAACCCCTTTTCCCCACTTTGGCTGAATAGTGTGACACTGAGAGCCAGGATGGCTCCCCATGCAATTGGCAAAGTGTCAGAAGGCCCGAGCTGGCTACACTGAATCAGACAAAACGTGCTGTGGATTCCCCTTCTCATCAACACCTGCTCAGCATTTGCCTAAGATAACGTTTTCCTGCGTGTGTTTCTGTTGCTTTGAAGGCTGTACGTACTAATGCCTGCCACTGGCAATACTTAGATGCTACCTGAGTGGGGTGTTCAGTTCTGTGGTGGTTTTCTTTCCACCTCTCCTCCCAGACCTGAACGGCAGCTGTGTGCTAGTGTTTTGTCATTGCCTTTGTTCAGGTTTATTCATCATTTGCTGGGATCACTGCAGTGGTCTTCTGACCCACAGCTGGAAACATAAAGGATTATTTGGAAACAATCTCGAGGTAAACAATAGCTCTTTTTTCCCGTGTTCACCAAACTTGATGCTTGGGCTCTCCGAGGAGAGTACCTACAGGATATGATATTCCCGTATCGATTCTTATTGCGATTTTCATCTTCTTTGGCTGTGTCCCATGAAGCAGTCTGCCCCTCAGGTAAGGCCTAAAAAGAAAGAGCAGATGGTTAGAGTAGCCAGAGATGGAGGGTTTATCCACAGGGAGATGAAGCAACCAGGGAAAGCAAGAGCCACTGAGAGGGGATAGTCAGTGTAAAGGACAATATGTCCTTGGATGGGACCTGAGGAGAACACAGTTTAGGCCGTTCCATGTTCCATGAACTTCTTTCCTAGCTCTTTGACTCAGTTGTTGATTTTTCTGTGGTCCATTAATTCACAATCTTTCCGGTAGAGAAGTCATTCATTCATTCATTCATTCATTCATATATTTTTGATCCACTAATATGTTCTGGGTATCATGCTAGGTACTAGGATTGCAGAAATAGATAAATTTCCTTGAGTATTGAATGGGCCAGAATGCAAATGAACAAGCAGATACATTATTTTAGATAGTGGAAAGTGCTGTGAAGAAAATAAGGCTGGATAAAGGGATAGGGAGGAAGAATGGGTATTATTTCAGGTTACGCAAGAAGTAACATTTAGGGAGTAACACTGAAATTCATTCCTTAATGATGTGAAGTACTTTCCAAAAGTACGCCACTGTGAAGGTGTTCAGGCAGCAACCAAATGGTCACATTCAGGGATGACAGTGCAGTGCTGGGACTAGTGTTAGAAGCCCCTAGAGAAGATGGGAGAGTACTGAGAGGAGAATTTCAGATTAAAACCACAAGTGCTTCCAATAGTCAGGCGGGCATGGATGTAGAGGGGATACATACAGGGCACCAACATATCTACCAAGGGCTGTGAAGAGAAAAGGAGTAAAGGCTGACTTTGTCATTGCTTTGAAGAACTCAATGGAAAGATGTCATTTACTTAAGTGCAGAAGTCTGGGAGATAAACAAGATTGGGGAGGAATAAAATATGTTGAGGTCCTTAAATTGCTTTGCACTGAATACTGTGTACTTTTTAACATATTCAAGTGAGCCACAATAATAACACTAATGATGACAGCCAAGTTTGATATGTCTATCAGACATTCAAGCTGCAATGCTAAGAAGTTAGAAACAGAGGTCCAGAGCCAAGAGAGGGGATGAGAGAAGATTTTCATCAATCAGTTTAAGAGGATGGCAAGCACAGATAAGGCAGACAAACACCTGTGGGATGAATAGCCAGGGCTATGAGCCAAGTGGTTTTGAACACAGACGAGGTGCAGCCAGATATTTCATAGAGGGGAGGATGGGCATTGAAGACAGCGGGGCAGCTTCAGCAAACCTGCAGAAATGTGAAGATCAGATTGTTTTGTTGACTGTCCCCATTCTGCTAGTGGAACAGGGTGGATGACTTGCTCGTGGTCTTTGCATTTTATGTGAAGATGAATTAACAGTTTTAGTGGGCATAGCTCTGTCCCTAGTGCAGGGGAGAGGAACTTCATGGAACTTTGTCTTTTCCATGTTTCCTCACTAGGTCCATCCTAAATAAGGAGGAGCCTTAACCAAATCGGCTGAAGTCCGGCCCCTCAGCAGGTCCTGCTTTACAGACAGGCAGGTCAGCATTAATGAATGACAGGCTAGTGCTCATGAGATATACAAGCTGATCTTTGGGAGATGGATTTCCTACCATATCCCAAAGATAGAAGTCCTCTGTGATAAGAGAAAGCCATCTGTCCTAATATAGCCCCTAAAAATGGTGCAAAGCCAAGGGCAGGATAGCCTGAATGGTTTTACACTAATTTCTTGGTAAAATTCATAATGATGAGTACATGATATGTCCCAGAGTTTGGTTTGTACTTACCTGAAGGTCTCATATTAGAATTATCTGGGGAAACTTTAAAACTCCTGAGACAAGGCCTTACTCAAGGGCCAATGGAGCAAACTCTGGAGTAGAACACAGGCCTAGATGCTGTTTCAAGCTTTCTAGGTGATTTTTTTTTCTTGCTATTAGGGATCAAACTCATGACCTTGCACTTGCTAGGCAGGTGTTGACACCACTGAGTTAATTCCCTGGCCCTTTCTAGGTGATTCTAATGTGCAGCCACAATTCTTCCAAACAGTGGATTTACCTAAAGAAATACTTTTCAACGAATCTCCTCTTTGGGTTTGTCCCCTCCAATCCATCCTCCACTGTAATCAGAGAGATCTTTCTAAAATGTGAATAGGACCCAGTTATTGTTCTGGCTATTGTCTTCAGGATAACTTCCAAACTCTTTAGTTGGAGGCCCTTTTGACTTCACCCCAAATTCCCTACTGATTAATCACTTCTATCCTTTATTTTGATATGCAATTATCAGGTGTCTCAAACTTTTTAGATTTTACAAATAGCTCTGGCCTCCTGGCAATTCTCTTCTGCCTGAATCTGCTTTCAAAGCATCTTTTCCTTTGTAAAAATTCCTCTGTTCACTGCATTCTCAGTCTGATAATCTAAATATCTGCCTCCCATCTAGATCATAAGCTCATCCATGGGAAGTGTAGCATCTTAATTATGATTATATCTTCAGGACCCAGCTGGCTCTTGCTGTATATATCCTTGAATGACCCATTTGGAATAAATAAATGAGTGAAAAAAATTAATGAATGAAGTGATTTTGTGCAATCAGAAGACAAAGATCCTGGAATCTCATAGATAAGAATGACCTTTTCCTCCGTGGCCTTCCAGGCAGCTGATGAGGTGATCCAAAGCATCTATCTTGGGTAACCTCAGTGACAGATGGAGTACTTCCTCCCAAAGCTTACTGCCTCCTTTTTTTGAGCAGACTCACTAGTGTTCTCTCTACTCTGCCTCTCTGTGTGTTGCCTTTGTCTTCCTCCATGAGCCGCTCTCCCCCTCCTCCAGAATGTGTATGCACCTTCTTCACTGCGACACTGCAGAGAGCTGATGAAGGTCACTCCTGACACTCCCATAGTTCTTAAATAGTTCTCTTAATATCAAGACTATGCCCTTCAGGAAACACCCTGGATGCAGCTGTTGCTGAGAGTCCTAAACCTAACACAACAGTTGTGATGAGTGAGTGGCACTTCTCAGTGGGAAAGCACTCAGGCACCTGTCACTGCCCTGGGAGGGTGAGGAAGACCTTGTGGGTCGGGGGGTTGTGATGATGTAGACCAATCAGAGGAGGCATGCCTAATAGAGGGCCCAGGAGGGAGTGGTAATGATCCCATAATTGGCAGGCTTTGATCACACATCTATTTCCCTTTCTAGGGAGCTGTAATTGAATAGAGGATAATCTCAAGAAAAAAAAAAATCCAAGGAGGTGAAAGTATGAAAGAAAGACTCATTTCTGTCTGCAAAATGAGGGAGCCAGGGGCATTATTTTTACATTAGTGGCTAGTTACAGTAGATTGACCAGGGAATGGTGGCAGTCATTAGGAGCTAATCACATTCTTTTGAAACCAAAATTGCCATCTCATTATACTTCTCCATTATCAATCTTCACTTTCCTTTTCTCATTCTCTCCCCTTAGCATGTGGAGCGCTAGTTTCACACTTCTCTCCAAGCATGGGAATGTTTTATACTCTTTACCAGTGTTGCTTTTCCAAGGTGGTCACTTTTTTATTTTTATTTTTTTAGTCCAGAAATGTATTTGGGGATGTCCTTGTATCTGGAGAACTGAGCCATGGTATTCACGGAATCCTCAACAGTCAGATTTGAAAGGGTGTTTTGAGAACATTTTAGCTTGTGTATCATCAAAGCATGGTCTAGAGTCACAAAATGACCTGCTCAAGAACATATTCTGAAGTCTTCCTTCTCTTCTTTCTTTTCACAGAGGCCATCTCGGACCAGACACTCTACTAGGTCCTAGAAATAACGGCGGGAGATATGACAAACAGAATCTTGAACAGTTTTAATTGTGGGAAGGGGTGGACAATATGCAAAGATATAGTCATTGTTTGTAATGAGTGCTATCAAGGCAATGAAGAAGGATCTGGGTAGATAGTGGCTGGGGAAAGGGATCACTTAGATAAGGTGGTTTAGGCAAGATCCTTTGAAAGGATGACCTTGAGAGAAAAAGGCAGTCTTGGATACGAGAGAGCTGGCCAGGCCCTCCCAGCTGGGCTTTGGTGCTTTCCATTGATCCCATGTAACACCAGTATCAGGCAACGCTGCTTCTTCATGAGAGAAGGAGGCCAAAGCAAGTTCATTCTGGAGTCATAGCTGAACCCAGGTAAAATCCGAGCACTGAAAACCAAAAAACCTGACCAAACATATCCCTATCCTGCCTGATATGACTACTACTTCTTTGTTAATCATAGTGTTAGCTTCTCCCTATCTTCTCCTGTGATAGTTAAGATTTATTAAGATCCCCCATCACAGGTCTTCCTGTAGTTTCTAATCTAGAACAAACCTTCACTTACATTGTCTCTCACCTCATCAGCACAGTCCATTTTCTGTGAGTCCTTTCTATAGTTCCCTTGTTGAGATGCCCTATCATCTACCAAGAGGTGCATTCACCTCCTGGCAACAAGAAATAAGCCAACTTGCTCAATTCCAGCTGTGTACCTGCTGTCATTGGCTGACATACTTGAGCTGAAAACTAAATGTTGAGTGAACACCAGCCATGGCAAGGCCTAGGAATAAGGAAAACTCCCAGCTGGGGGAACAGCAAGTGCAGAGAGCCTGGGATGGAATGAATTTGTGTTCTAGAATTTGAAGGAGGCTCTTCAGAGCAAAGAGCATGAGTGGGGAGAGGGATACATGTGAATTGTGTGAGTACTACCAAGCACTGGGAGCCAGCAGGGGCACTCGGTCAAATTCTTTCTGATCAGTCAAGCACATGAGCTTTATCCTAAATCCTATACGCTTAGGGAATATTTTAAAAGAAGGAGGTTGAGGCAGGGCAAGCTGAGGACTTATTGAACCCTCCCTTCCTCCTTATTCATATGCTTCACAGATTTTAGGATAAAATGAACATGAAGTACCTGATGCAGACTAACTTCCCCTGTGATTGCAACCTACCTCCCTAGCTACAGATCTGAGGCCCCTGGAGCAGCTGGGAGGCTCATTATCACATGACCACAAGTCACAGGGCTCTTATGCCTTGCTGTGATGACTT